TCCTGCTTTAGGCACAAACCCAGCTGGGTGATCTTGGGGCCAGTCATTCTCCCTCAGTCCTAGGAAGCGGCAATGGCAAACCATTTCTGAAAAACCTTGCCAAGAAAATTGCAGGGACTAGTCCAAGCAGTCTCCAGGAGTCAGAAAGTGACTCAGGCACCCCACCCCCCGCAAATAGTGAAACACAACTGAAGTAAGAAAGGTTATGGTTTTTCTTGTGACTTAAGCCATGATAAGTGAAGTTCTACATCCCAGATTTCCAAAATCCAAAACAGGCCCTATCAGGTGCTGAAGTTATGCTTTCAGGTAATTTCAAATCAACAACTTGCAAAATTTTAACCTGTTTTAAAGCAGGTGTGGGTAGCCTATGGTCCGTGCAGCATCTCTACTCTCCTGCTTAATTTTGCACCTTGAATGCTGAAAATCAGCAATGTATTACATCTTGAGGAGTGCAACTTATCAATGCTGTGACTGTGGGTTTTAAAACTGGGTTCACAGTTAAAAACAATGTTTACTTTTTATTTTAGAAAATTCCCTGCAGGAAAAAAGTGTGTGTGATAATACCCCACTCATGTAGTAGCCATTGTAGTTTTTGTCTCCCATATGCTAAGCGCACCTTTGCCTATCAAGTTGCCCACCCTTGCTTTAGAACCATAAAGTGTCTTCCATCAACCTACAATTAGTTTCCAACTGTTTTTTTTAAATACTTCCTAACAGATTACAACAGCAGTGACCTAAAAACAGCTTGCAGAAAACATGAACTTTATGTTAGCTTCCAAGACTTGGGATGGCAGGTATGTAGTGTTTCTGTCTCAATAAATATACTCCTAAAACAGTATCTGGAATATTGATGCTAGTTCTCTTTTTAGCAGTTTTGTGTGTATGTGTTCTACAGAAGTAGATGCAGGGAGAAAGAAGAGCTCCTTGATTATTCTGCTCAGTAATATATTTGTCATAATCTTAACTTGGATTGAAGAGCAACTTTTAGTGTACAGACTACAATAAAAGTCATCCAGACTCGCTCTGCAGTGAGATGGGCAGTGACAAATCTGAAATATAAACAAACAAATAAAAATGCTTTTTCAACTGTTTTTCTAGAATATACCTAATACTTACCTTTTTTTGGTTTATTTTACAATATTTATAGTCCACCCCATTCCTGGTGGATTTTGGACAAGGTCATTTTGGTTTGTCAGTTTTTAAATTTTAAAAATTCCTGTTATAAGTTGTCCATTCTCTTGTAAAGCCCTCTGAATTTGGGCTCTGAGTGTCTTAAGCCTTGCATAGACCTTGCTAAAAGTGGTCTCCATCCTTTTGGATTAAATTCTCTGTATTTCTGTAATTGAATCTTACCTTTAGAAGAGAATATATGTAGCTCAGGGTTGAACTGTGGAGTCCTTGGGGTTCTGTGAGCTTGGCTGAATCTTATCTTACTGGTACATGTAATTGTGTGTAGAAAAATGGTTCTAGGGAAGGAAGCTTTGTGCTTCTAGCTGTAGGGGCTTCCATATAAGGAAGTAGCTTGTACTTGTGTGAGGTTCTGTGTATATGTATTGTACAATTATAGAAACAAATGCACCCTTTTGTAGTCTGTAGAGCCTCATAGTAGGTAGAACCAAAAATGTGAGGGTTTTTTTTTTTTTGCATATTCTGGGTTTGGGTAGATTTTGAAATGAGGGCCTTAAGCTGGAGATTCTTAAATCACTCTTTTAATCCCTTAAAAATCCCGAAACCCCCTTCCAAAACACACCCTGTCCCACTTTAGAAATGGATCCTTTGACATGACCCACAAAGCTGAGGTGATAGAAACTGTGTAGCCTTGCTATAGACATTCACCATGTTTAAGGCCAATATTGTGTGCATGATTCTTGGGACACCCTTTTTATAACGTCTAGTAAGTCTGTAGCTTTCCATCAGGTGTGTGTTGGCTAATCCAGTTTTAAATTGTATAAATTCTCAGTAAGACAGCTCCATTTTTACGTGCTGAATTCAGTTAATGGCTAATTGTTACATACTAACTGTATAGTTACATATTAAATAATTCCAGTTCAATATGCCCTAAAATGCTTAGGTAATATTTTGTGGATTTAAACAGAAGCATTTGCTATAAATGTAGTGCACTTCAGTTCAAAATGAATGCCTTGAAGCACCTTTTGAGAAATAGATTAAACAGTAACACACATTGCATTATTATTTAAGCAAGCACAAACCACCACAGTAATGATGTTACTATGGATATGTTACACGTACCATAAAAATGAATGTTAGGTAATGCTTAGAGCATTATCCTTTGTGTGTGATGCTGGGCACGCTAGATTTTCTGTATATGGGGGTGGCAGTTTCCGCACATGAGATTTATATTACAGGTAGACCTCATTTAGCAACTGCCTCGTTTAGTGACTGTTAGTAGTTGCTACAGTGATGAAAAATTCTGTGACCAGGTCTGTAAAGCAAAGGAAAGCCAAAGTAAGATCATAAGCACAGTCATGGTTTCACTTAGCAACCGCTTTGCTTAATGACCAAGTTGCTGGACCCAATTGTAGTTGCTAAATGAGGACTACCTGTATATGAGAATACTATTCATAGGACTGGCAGGGAAGTTTCAGCATTACTTTAATAATGCATGAAAGCCAGTGTTACAAGCAACAACCAAGATTTTCCTGAAAAAAGTGTTGCTCTATGAATGTGTAGGATTTTATAAAGAATGGTTAGTAACTCCTGCATTTGCCTTTTATATTACATAAAGACAACAAAATGACAAGATGATTTCTCAGATATAAGGTATTAACTGGATCCCTCTACCCTTAATATATATTGTAATTTGACACCATGTGTGTATTGATTAACCCAGGTTCTAACACATGTAATATGCTTATTGTTAAGGACTGGATAATTGCACCAAAGGGTTATGCTGCAAACTACTGTGATGGAGAATGCTCTTTTCCTCTCAATGCTCATATGAATGCCACCAATCATGCCATTGTGCAAACTTTGGTGAGTATATGTGTATATATATATTGCATGGCTCATAATTATAATTATCATGAAGGATTTAAGCTTGCCTCTTGCCACTGAAGTTATTGCACAATTGATTTCTCCAGTATGTCTGGTGGCTAAGACTTAAACTTGCATGATAGATAGGAAGATAATTTTGGCATTAATAAAATAATCCATCAGTGTTAACAGGTGGAAAGGCTTGTGGGATGATAGAAAGCAGAGGGAGGCCTGAGTCTTAGATGGGCAAGTTCTGATTTCATTAACTTTGTATGAAAATGTACAACTGTACCTAACTTGAAGGAGCTAAGAATAATGGTATAGGCTCCCCCACTTGCAAAATTGAATAACAGTCTGAGAGCACATGCCCCAGTCTCAGAAGAAGGCTCAGATAAAACTGCAGTTTGAAAAGGACTGAGTTGAAATTACAGGCAATACTATTAATTTCTTTAAACAGGTTCACCTAATGAATCCAGAGAACGTCCCTAAACCATGTTGTGCTCCTACAAAACTTAATGCAATTTCTGTTCTTTACTTTGATGACAATTCCAATGTCATTTTGAAAAAATACAGGAATATGGTGGTAAGAGCTTGTGGGTGTCACTGACAGAAAGTTTCTTTACAAGATGCCTCAGAAAGAAAATCTAATGCTTCTGGAACAGCATTTGTGCCTTAAGAAGAAGTAATGAAAAGCAAAGACTTCTGTTACTACTTGTTAAGTATTTGCACATTAATGGCTTTTTGATCTTACAGTTTTAAGTAAGCCAGAGCAAGTTATAAAATGTGGATCCTGTTAATACAATGAGTGATCTGAGGAAAGTCTGCCTGCTGTTTGAACTACATTTCAGTCTTACTAAGCAAGCATCTCTCAAATCTTCATTAATATCACAAGAAGAAAACAGGGATCTCTGCTAAGGAGTAAAATGCACAATTTAAGTTGAAATTCCAGCCACACAGAGGTTAACCAAGCTGTCCTTGCTTACTTTTAAGGCATAGAAACTGAATATGTGAGATCCTGGAAACTACTGCAAGAAAATGTCTTCTATTTGGATGAAATGTTTCACTTAAATTGCTTCCTTTAGAAACTAAAGACAGCTTTTATACATTGTCCCTTCAAATGAAGAACTGGTGGTCATATGCCTTAATGATCAGATAAGGACAACCTTGGGTCAGCTACCATTTTTGAGGGGAGGGGAGTATTTTGGAGGCAAAATTATCAGGCAGGTAGGAAGATGCTTCTGTGTTAATTTCAAAGGCATTTTCTACAGTTACTTCCTGTTGCTAATTCCAATCAAATTTCCTAATGTCTCGGCGGCATCATGACCAAGTATGCACATGCACCCACAATCTATTCCTTAGACAAAAGACATGTAACTCCAGTGGACATATGCAGGAACTGAGGAGTTCTAAGCTACATGTTTTTTTAATCTTTGGTTTCCTAAAATTGGGGGGAAAAACGGACCACACCATATTTACTAAAGAAGAGACACTTACCTGATTGCTCTTCGGAATAATGTAAGATGACAAGGTGGAAATGAGGCAAAGCTGCAGTCAGAGCAGTAGATGAACTGCTTCACATTTACTGGTAATAACAGGGCATATTCTTAGTTTGAGAAAAATACATTTAAATGGTATATGATACTTATTTCTGAGATCAGATTCCAAAGAAATTCTCCAGCAAGATTTCAACAAAGTGCACTTCCCTTTGACTACTTTGCATTTTAAGAGGCTTTTGTAAATAACTAAAGGTATAATTTATTGCAGTCTTCAGATATATTAACTTCGATGTATTATTTAGTAAGACCATGATGCTTTTTTAAAAAAAATTTATTCAGAAATTGGTTGTGTAAACAATTGTACCACTTGATTTTGTACAAGAAACTCATGAGTTACAACTTAGCCAGCTCATGAGATTGTGCTTCTTTAGGTTTTTAAAATGAATAAAGGCTCCCTTTAAGGCAGAAATATGTGTTGATTTCTCTGCCATATGTGATTAGCCCTTTCAGTTAACTTCCATGTTTCATGAGGGTTTTTCCCTGCTTTGTTCTGGACAAATTCTCTGGCCTTCAAAGAAGGAACGAAGGAAGGACAAACTAGAGTACAAACACAGAGCATGTAGATATGGCTATGGAAATTGTGTATCTTCATTCACAGTAATGGCAATAGAGTCCTTCTGTATAGAACTGTATGTACAGACCCGTAACTCTGCCCCAGAAAAAATGGCAATAAATGTTCATATGCAAATTAGATCAAGAGTTAGCTGCTGTAGTTTGATCTTGTATCATTACTTGCACTAGAAATTCTTTGGCTTTAATTCTCTCTCTTAGGGCATACTAAATTGGAAATAGGATTGGATGGGGCTGGAGAATCTATTCAAACCTACAGATCATCTGGAAAAATTCTATAGGAAAGTTTGGTTTCTTTGTTACTGTTGACCTGGGAAAAGAGAAGGAATTTCATAGACTTTTAAAGTTTTACTTATTCATATGTAAGCATGAATCCTAGCTAATCTGAATTTGATAAGTTATAAATAGGAGTTAAGCCCCATCCAATAAAATCTGAGTTGTAAAGTACTGTTTGGAATTGAAATGAACATCAAATATATGTGTAGAGAGCCAAGTCATGCAATTTAATTAAGTGAATGTTGGGCTTAGCTGAGAAGTATCATGGTCTAATATCCAGGCATAGGCAGTACCATTAATTTTCATTGCACATCCTTGTGAGAGGAGTCAACAACAGAAAGCAGCCAGGGGTAGCTTCCTAAAGTGTTTCTGTGTGTTTTCCTTTAGAATTTATTTTAATTTGGCTTCTGAAGGTGACATTTAAAGATAATGATGGAACAGGTTAACAAATTGGGGTTAAAGTTTGCAAGTTTTATGCAGTTGATAATGTTCTAATTAGTTTTACCTGCAGTGAAACTAATCTGCCCTGATGGTAGCCTTTCTTCTCTTATTTTTGTTTCAAAATGCAATTTACTTTTTCATCATAGGACAAGTGGAAATTCATTAATGCAACCAGTACCATAAATATTGGTTCCCAGTTTGAACAGTGACTGTTTGTTGTAATCTTCTCTCAAGGTTAGCAGAGTAGGTAATAGGAAACACAAACATATGCACAAACGATACCACACTTTAGAACATCCAGTTTCCCGCATGACCACTATTGGAAATCCAATAACATTACCATGATTCAACTTCCATGTTTACTGGACCCAGCTAAAGAAGCAGTAACCAAGCAGCCACATTTTTACAGTTCATCCTTTGCTTGTCCCAGAACAAAGTTATGCAGTGTTTCGAGATCTCTGGCTCCTGTGTGTTCGCTTACTTTCTCACCACCACGGAAAAGCATGAGTGTTGGGTAGCCACGGACCTTCAGAAAGAGGGGGGGGGGGAATCAGAAAGTAACACCATCATTTTAATCTAATCCCTATAGCTATTACAGGTAGTCCCCAGTTGAAAAACAAGTTCCGTTCCCAAGGTCTGTCCTTAAGTCAAATTTATATGTAAGCCAATCCCTATAGCTATTACAGGTAGTCCCCAGTTGAAAAACAAGTTCCGTTCCCAAGGTCTGTCCTTAAGTCAAATTTATATGTAAGCCAGAACAGTATTATTGTATAATACCATATTAGTAGTATTGTAATTAACTTGAATTGTTATGTATTTAACTTGAATTTTGCTATAGTAAGCTCCGTTCTTAACTATGGGTCGTCCTTAAACTGGGCGTTCTTAACCCAGGGACTACCTGTATATCAGCATATACTATATAACGACCTGTTCATTAGCAGAGAAACCCCCCACCTCAGTTGCATTAAGTGTGATCCTATACATATCTAAAGTACATTTAAGTCAAGCTCAACCTCTGTTGTTTTCTTTGGCAACAATATGGAAGTTGTTTGTCGTGGCCGACTTTTTTTTTTTTTTTTAATTTCCTAGTGTTCTCTATAGTCCTAGAGATTTCCTAGGAATCTCCCATCCAAGTACTAACTAGGTCTGCCCTTGTTTAGGTTTTTCAAGCTCTCCAGTATGTTGACCTTATATAACAAGTGTGTGAAAGTCCTTTAAATTCCAGCTTATGGCCTTAACAGTAAACCAGTAGGAATAAACCAGCAGCCACTAGCAATTTCGACATTTAGTGCAAACTCTGGAATAATATCTAGCCTTGTGCTTACAGAAAATCTGTTGCAGACATCGCGTTCAGTAGTGCAGTCTACTTCTGCTATCTTCACATCCAATGGTCCTGGAAAGTTCTTTTTTGAGAGGTTCTCCCATGTGGGAGCCAGGTTTTTACAGTGACCACACCTGAAATAATGAGTAAATTTTATTTCTGTTTTGATGGCTAATGTAAGTAATACTTTTAAAAAAAAACGGAAAGAAAACCAAAATAAAACCAACTTGGGGATATCACAATATGGCCTCTGTTAGTAGTCACACAGGAACGTTAATCACAGGTATAAATATGAAGCCTTTCAGAAAATCCAATTCATATCTGATGATAGAAAATCAACTTAAATCACATCTACTTCATTATTAGTTCTTGCAAGAATCTCCACCCATTTTTCTTGAGTAGAAATATGTATCAGCCCACCAGAGGTTCATAAATACATTCAAACACTCATTTTGAATCTGATAAGTTCATTATGAAGGATTAAGGAGAAGTACTGCCTTTCTCCAGACTTAGGAGAATATGGCACAATCACCTTAATTTTGCAATGTGTCTTGGAAAGGAGAAGTTTGGAGAGTTTCAAAATGCTTCTGAAACTCAAGGTCTAAGACAAGATCCTATCCCCTCTTCATGTTTGGGGAGGGGGAAAATCAATAACGAGCCAAACTATTTGGAAACCTGTATTTCATCATTTTCTGTTGCATTCTGTTGCAATGTAAAAAGTAAGCTTCTTTAATAATGCTTGTGTTCTTTCAGATACTGTCATAAAATATCTGAGTTAAGGATTGTCAAATCACTAAATATGAAAGGAATGTACCATTTAAACATAAACATTTCTAAGCCACTTTAAAAGAAGTGTTGCTAAATGGGATGAAAAAGGCATTACTCTCACCAATGACTCTTACATAACTCTAAATTTTAAAATGCAGAAATAAAGCTATCATTCTATATGTAAAATGCTATATATACAACTGCATAACTAAAAGTTATAATGTAATACTATACATACCCTCTCAGCAGCTCAAAAAGCAATTAAAAATGAAAAGAGTATACAGTGGTGCTTAAAAGTTGGTGAAGAAAGCTAAATATGTAGCTTTGGATCATTTTCCTCAATAAATAAATGGCCAAGTATAATGTTTTTGACTCATTTGTTCAATTGGGTTCTCTTTATCTAATTTTAGAACTTGTGTGGAGAACAGGTCATATTTTAGGTCATATTTATGCAAAAATATTGAAAATTCAAAAGGGTTCACAAATTTTTAAGCACCACTGTACTCTGTGTATATTTGATCTTTTGTACATTTAGTTTTATTTCAAAATCAAAGCATAAATACAGAAACTTCTAGGGAGATTTTCTTTTAAGCTGCTGGCTTGCCTTTACTAGCTTGATAAATAAAAGATTGCATCCATAAACTAAGGTCATTTTTTTGTGAAGTCATGTTTGTAACATGGATTTCTTCATTTCTTTCCAGTATTCCCCTAAGTTATAGGTGTAAGCAACAGAATTTCCTTTAAGAGGAACTGTCTACTGTTAGGACTAAACTTTATTAGAAATACTTCAATCTATGCTATATACCTTCTAATCTTATTTTGCAAATAGTTTATTGAGAATGGTACTGTAAGTCTGATTTATTTTCTATACATTTTCCCATTTGAACTGTTACATCATAAACACAATCCAGTAAATGTTAAACACTTTTATGTACCTTGAGCTGAATTACAACAAAATCTAAGCTGTATAAATTCTGAATCGATCACGTCTACAATGAACAGCACTGGAATAAGCATATAAAATTAATATAATTCTTAAAAAACAGATGTCCACAAACTGGCAGTTTTGAAGCTGAATTTAACATGTACATTATTAAACTCTCATGATATCTAACTTGAAAAGTGTTTATTCTGCTGTTCCATAATGTACATGTGTATACTGACATCTGTTCTCTATCCCTATTTCAGATAATAAAATTGTCCTTTTAAATATGCTTACTATATATACAGAGTGTGCATTAGAAGGCATGGATTGTACATACTGAAAGCTACTAAGATAAGATGAACTTCTTGTTATTCAGCTTAGTGTTAATATTTACTTAAAATAAATGGCAAAAGTAGACCTCCATACACTCTTGGCAACTTAAGCAAACATGTAACAGTTCATATGGAAGAGAAAAAAAAGTCAATCTATATACAATCAAGTATATTTATATACACAATTTACATGGCCAGGAATAGGATACCAGTTTTTGTGTAGAACACATTAGTGTAAATTGCAGCTTTTCATGGAAAACTGCTTTCAAAGAAAGTGCATCAGTTGACTGATATTTAGAGTATCTTTAACACACCTCTTATACTGGGAGCTTATTATTTTTTGTGGCATTCTGTTTTTATACCAGTTAGGAGGGAATGGAGCTATATTTAGAATATATCTTTCTCCTAAACTGCCATAAGCATTTAACGAATTACATCTTATTTTCCTCTCAAGCGTGACCATCATCTAGAAATAAAAAAATCTGGTCCAATTTCATGCCATTGTAGCTTTATAGGTGAAAGATATCCCCGCCTACTCCCCAAAGTCCAGTATTTATTTCTCCACCTACTGTGAGTCATGCTACTATGAAGGGTCAGATGGGAAGTTTCAGACAAGATGAATATGAGCACAAATATTACAAATGTGCACAATGGTCAACTCTGCATTAGAGTAAGATTCAAGCAATTTTAACAGGTTAAGAACTCAGATCCCATTATAAGTAGCCATGAAGTCACTGAACCTTGAACAAATCTCAGACCAGTTTACAGATTCAAATTTAATCACTTGAGGATTCAAGTATATGTGATTATTATAGAACTACCAATAAAGTTCAAGTCTATCAAAGTAATATGCTGAATCCAGACATAATCAGAGGCGATTATGATTAATTTAACTCCTACTGTTACTCTAGGTAAGACTAAGTCTGGATTCGATTCAATCATTTTTTAGCAGAGTTAATTAAACATCTATCTGTACCCATTATCAAGCAATCAAAATGTACAAATGTACATGCAAATTAGCCTTCTAAATGCTCATAGTACAGACTACATAACTCTACACTCTCTAACACTGAGATAGACTAAATCAAATCTGATACTTGCAACAAACAATTCTTTGGGTTCCAGGTAGCTGGATAACATAAGAAAACATTCTTAATGCTACTTCAACACTCAGGAAGTAAACATTTCAACAGTGAGGTTTATGAATGGAGATGGAAGGAGTAGCACAGCACTATTTGAGTAGATATAAAGCATCTTAAATACTAAGAATAATAAATGAGAAAAGGAGTGCTGGCTGAGGACCACCTACAAACAATGCAGTGACATCAGTTCGGAGAAGGCTACATTACACTTTTAATGAAAATTAAACAGGTCTGCCTGATATCTAACATTGAACTGTAGCCACAAATTATTCATAGCTATCAAATTAAAAGCTGACTATGGGTAACTTCAGTTCATCTCAAAGATTCTACTGATGTCACAAGAACAAGGAACAATTACCCGCATATAAAACTGGTCATTTATTCTGGATAAACGATACATTTTCCAACTCCAGGATATGAAGTAGGTAGAATGGTTGGTAGAATACACTCCACAACAAAAAGATAAATAAGTTAAATACTTGTAATATACATTTTCTCTGAAAGCGTACCATGGAGCATAGAACTTGATGAAAGTGATCCCATTTGCAATTTCTTTATCAAAATCTTTTTCAGAGAGGGAAAGAACTTTGCCCTGTCAAAAGAAATAAAGGTCAGAGTCAAATCACCTTACACAGTATCTTAACTATAAGCTCTTTATTGTGGATATGCAAAATTGGTAGCTCCAGGAACAGCATAATCCAAAGAGAAATGGAATGTTCTGGAGTTCTCTGGAACCTTCTGATCCCAGAATGACAAACTCTTTATTGCTTGTCAAAGAGATGCAAATTCTTTCCTGCTTCATACCCACTGCCGTTAAACTATGTGACAGGTAAACAGATGTTGAAATGAACTGAGTTTAAAGTTATGGAAATGCTAATGAACTTTTTACTGTCTTTTCTGCAGCAATCTCTGTGTTATTATCCCTTGAAAATCCAGTTTAATATAATACTAATTCATCTAACTCATGGTTCTTCTTTTAGCACCTTCTTGTTTATTGTAATCCCGTCTGCCCTGTCCATTTGTACCCTGTCACCTTGCTGGGTCACATGGTAAGACAGAAAATACTTCTCAGTATCTCAACCTGGCAACAAAATATGATGTCACAAGGATAATGACTGAGTAAAAAAAAAGCAGGAAATTTAATTTGCTGCCAACTAACAGGATGTAAACATCCTACATTTAACTATACAAATATCTAAATACAATATATGAATAGCCAAAGAAAGTGTGAACAATAAGGAACCAATTTAGTTTTGTAAATACAGGCACATAATTGGAATCTGGCCACAACCCTGGTTTAGAAAATAATGTTTAGCGAGAGAGAAAAATCCCTTTAATAAAAGAACTTCTAAAGACCTACCTCTTCCTCAGGAGTTATTTCTCTAGGTGGTAAAGGTGCTTCAGTGGGTTTAATATCATTTATGGCTTCCTTGGAGTCTTTTAACTGAGATTCGATATACTCTTTCAAAGAATCTAAATCTCTCTTTCCTTTGTATTGGTCAACCTAAAATCAAACCACAATTATTACTAGTTTAGCAAACATTTCCTAATCTCCCATTTGAATATGATTATGTTAAATAGTTACTGCAGGATACAAATAGCCAATAAATATATTATTTATATATTTAATTATGAAGTAAACATTTCA